GTATTTGGAGTTTGGTGGTAGTTAGTGTATATCCTGGACTAGAGAAGATCAGCCAGGGAGGGTGAGGAAAACAACCAAAACATTTATCAAGTGCTTCCTATGTGCCTAGAATTGTTCTAATAGCTTTCCTTTAACTTCACACTACCTATGAGGTTGGGTGGCAGAACAGTGCTAGTTGACCCCCCTTCTTTGTTGGGAACAGAATTCCCAAATGTGAGCTGGGCATGTGGCTGACTAGAATAAGGACCATACTTCCCAGGTTTCCTTGCCACTCGGAATTTCCACGTGACATGTTCTAACCAATAGTGTCTGAGCAGAAGTGTTGGGGTGTGTCTTAAAGGTTGAGAATATACTTCCGTTCTTTCTTCTTCCTGCTAGTTGGAATGTAGATTGAGTGGCCATCCTGAACCCTGATGTGGAAGCCGTGTGTGGAGTATTGTTGCTGTAAACTCAGGGCTCCACTGATTGCGTATTTTCCATACTTGCCATGGACCACCTGTTTTTACACGAGAGGAAAATAAAAGGCTATCTTCTTTAGTATTATTTTGTTATTGCTACTTTGTTACTAGCAGTTGAATCTAATTGTATGGGTAGCTGTTAACACTATCCCCATTTTAGATGGTGAAGTACAAAGAGGTTAGGAATTTAAGTGGCAGATCCAAGACCTGGATCCAAGCCTTGGGCTTCTGAGCCTGCCAGCATGGTCTGACACGGCTGCAGGGGAAGAACCCAGCACACATTTACTTCACTCTTGGGTGTCAAAAGCCTTCTTCACACTGGCTTTCAAACTGTCCTCAAAGTGTCCTCCTTATATAGTCCCACCCCCCTCCCCCATCGTGTTTCATTGACACCAATGTTCAGGCCTTGACCGCGCGTACACCCGCGGTGGGTACCGCAGCTCCTTCCGCCACTTGCTGCTCGGCCTTCCAGTCCTCTTGGCGCTTGTTCGCGAGGCTCATGGCACGTGTCTTCTTGGGCCGCAGGTGCAGGGGCTCCTACCTCTCACCCTTGTAGAATTTGCTGAGCTTGTCTTTCTGATCTGGTTAATGACGGTGTGAACACCGGAGATGAATGTGCTCTCGAATCTTGGAGAGCTTGGAAGCCGCGCTGCCTGTCTGTCACTTAGCCGACGCGCCGCCCGATAGCACCCCCTTCAGGTCTTCTAGCTGTTTAAGCAGCAACCCCTTGTCGTGAGGGTCTCAGCCTTCACCTTGGGCTGGGCTGCACAAGCCGCCTCTGCCGCCACCTGCTGGGAGGGAAAGAGGACGGCAGCTCATGATACTCTGATTGCCCACCATGTTGGTGCCCATTCATTCTGCTTCCCCCAATGACTTTCCTGACTTTCACATCTTTGTTAGTGCTTTTCTTCTTTGGTTTGGACCGAGGTCTCCCATATTTACCTGTTAAAATTCCATCCACCCTTCAAAGGCCCAGTTCTCTCCTTTCATATCCCTTCAACCAATGTCTTCTTTTACTTTTATGTATTTATTCATTTACCCAATATTTATTGAGAACTGTTATGTGCTAGACGCTGGTGATTCTCCAATGTGCAAAACAGATCAACAGGTAGTTTGTAAGCTGTTGCATTTGTCTTTGGGTTTGCTACAGCTGTGGCTTTCCAACTAAAAAAAACCCTTAGTGTAACTCTCACATAACACACACACACAGACACACACACGTAATGATTTAAGAAATATCTGCTTTTATCATATGTAATCACTCTGATAATTTAAACTCATTTCATTTCAGTCAGCAGATGCCTACTGAATTGATTTTATAGCCTATTAATAGGTTGGAACATTTAGGTTTGAGAAGCATTTTTTCCTTTTTTTCATTCAGTCATCCGTACAACTCCTGGCCTTGCACTGTGTGCTGGCACAGCTCTGGCCTTGGGCTCAAGAGAAGGAAGAGCTCCTTCTTCAAGGCGAGCAGGCCGGTGAAAATAATACAGCTTGAGAGCAAATGGCTGTACACAGTGCACTACGGGCTATCATGTGCTCTGGGCAGATGTGCACTTTGGTAGCTCCATAAATGTTAATGGGATTAAATCAAACTGCAGCATAGGCATTAGAATTATAAAAATAAATGAGAACAATGACTTTCTCAACAGCAGGATCTTAGCAGCTTGTAGATCTACTGTGATGTGAAGCTTGAATCGAAGTCCTGACTCTCTAAAGCATTGCTAGTAAGAGTCAATCATGGATATGTACTTTTCAGCTCCTTTCTCTAGACACAAAGAAAGTGTGGTGGAGTTAATTGTGTTTAGAAAAGGTGGCAATGATTTGGGCTTACCCCAGTGCTGATGGGAAGAAAGACATACTTAGTCTTTTTTTTTTTTTTTTTTAAGATTTTATTTATTTATTTGACAGAGAGATACAGCGAGAGAGGGAACAGAAGCAGGGGGAGTGGGAGAGGGAGAAGCAGGCTTCCCGCCGAGCAGGGTACCCGATGTGGGGCTCGATCCCAGAACCCTGGGATCACGACCTGAGCCGAAGGCAGACGCTTAACGACTGAGCCACCCAGGTGCCCCAAGAAAGACATACTTAGAACATTTCTCATTTCTTCCCCCAAAGCCTGTCAGGGTTATCACCCTCACTTTGCTGCAGGCAAAATGCCACCTAAAGTTGTTCTCTCCCCATCCGGAAATCAAACCGATCAAAACCAAGCTTGGTATAGAAACATTCATCCTAATCCTTTCTCCTGGGTCTTCCAATCCCAGGTTGACCTCACCTACCTTTGGACTCCTCTCTTCCCCTTGCTTCTGGGCTTTGCCCCACGACCTGGACAGAGACCTTTTTCTCACCAGCTAGTCCCCATCAGCATATGAAAACATTTAAAGGGAAAAGGCAAAACCTCCCTTCATCCCACATCCCCATCTAACTACTCTCCATTTCTCTTACTTACCGTTGTCAGACATTTTGAGAGCACGCCCTCTGTCTTCTCACCCCCCATTCACCCCTCTGTCAAGAGTGACCTGGCTTCTGCCGCCATCATTCACTGAAACTGCTCTCTGCAAAGGGCCCATGGACCCTCTTGTCAAATCCAGAAAACAACTTCTTACCCTACCTGCACTTTTCAATATCTAACACTGCCAGCCACTGTCTCTATTATGGGCCTTGGCTTCCATGATGAAATGCCTTCTGCCTGTCCCTTGAATGCTGATCTCCGGAGTCATAACATAAACCCCTCTCCTAGCCCCTTTTCATTCTAGTTTTTCAGGGTGATGTTGACTAACCAAGCTGAAAGTCCCAGCCACTGAAAAACACTTCCCCTGCTACACTCCAATATCCCTCCTGCTTAACGATTCCACTTCCAAATACCTATCTGTGGCCTCCTTTCCACCTTGAAAAATCTCCCTCCCCCCAGTTTTTATCCACGCCTGTCAATTGTTCAAAGTTTCTTAAGAATGACTTTTCTAATGGGCACCTGAGTGGCTCAGTCTGTTAAGTGTCTGCCCTCAGCTCAGGTCATGACCCTGGGTTCTGGGATTGAGCCCCTCATCAGGCTCCCTGCTCAAATATTTTAATAATAATTACATTAATTCTGAAGATTTTCTTTGTGAAATTACTTTTTGGAGCAATTTCTTTTAGGCCAATTTAATTCTTGATCAATTACATAGAATGCCTTTTCCATTTGCACTGTAATAAGATTATTTCCATTAGGATAAATTTTTGTGTAAATATTACAAAATATTTTTGTTCACATAAAATTTTAGTGATTATAGCTTCTGCCTTTGTATATTTTCTGATGTCTTATTTTCCCCCAGGTTACACTTATATATATCTAAATCTTACCATGTAATGTTCTATTAGTAATACTCTGTATGCAATCTCTACCCCCAATGTGGGGCTCAAGCACAGGACCCTGAGATCAAGAATGACATGCTCTACTGACTGAGCCAGCCAGGCACCCCTCTATGAATTGGATAAAAGATGGAACAGTGAATCCACAAGAAAATGGTGCCCATTTACTACTGCCATTGCTGTTCTTTTCTATTTGATACCTTGTGTTTGTGTCCATGCCTTTGGTGAAGTAAGGCTATGAAAGGTGAAATCAAAAAAAATTTTTTTTGGGGGGGGATCAAAACACTCTGAACACTTTGTTGGGGATCAAACACTACATACTACATAAAAGCGGCTTTTTGGAAGATGATGTTGGAATGTAGTAGCTCCAATAAGCAGATGGAGGAAATGTTTCCCACCAGTGAATGTGATGAGCACAGTCCACAGGCAAAGGACAGGCCACCACAGGGGAAGGGAAGAGTCAGGTACTTCCACAATTCATTGTCATTATCCGTTTTCCCTGCTAAATATTCATAGACATCTCCATCATTTCCCCTATAGTTGGTGCAGTTTTTGCAGGACGGTGAAAATTCGTGAATGACTGAAAAATTGCGTTAAGCTGCAATAATATGCACTTGCAATCACATTCTTTGGTCATCCATGAAGGATTATTACGTGAACAAAACGTAAACCTCCCTGAAGTAACTTAGAACTTGGTAGCTCGTGCTACTTGCACAGGTGCTGGAAAAGCGTGAGAACCGGCGTGAACCAGCTCTGCAGGAACGGAAGAGGAGTACGGGGTGAAGAGAGCGCGCACAGCGCAGACCGCAGCGCACCACGGGCACGCTCGGACCCGGAGCCGGGCGCACAGCAAACCGCGCGACCCAGTGCTTGCGGCGCATGCTCCAGCGCCAGGTTCGCCGAGCACAGTTAGCGCGGCCGCCGACAGCCCGCCAGCTGCATCCCCAATACCGCCCTCAGGCGTCGCTTATTCACCGTCCCGCTGGCCAGCACTGAAAATGGCCACTGCAGTGAGAATAGTGAATCCTTAAACGGCATCCGCGTCTTTCGCAGGCGGCCGAGGCTCCCCCTTCGTGACCCCTGCAGTTGCGAGTCCCGCCGCAGGCCCGGACTCCCGGATTGCGCCCCTCCCCAGCCGCGCGTCTCGGACGCCTTTCCCCCCGTCAGGCCCGCCTGCCGGATCCCGCAGCCCCGCGCCGACCTTTGCGGCCTCCCGGCCTCTCCGGCCCCCTCCCCCCGCGCCCCTGCCTCTCGGAGCCCTGGCCCGGCTCCCGCTCCCTCCGCGCCCCGCAGCGGGGCGGGGCGGGGCGGCGCGGGGGGCGGGGTTTTCTGGCACTTTCTGGGCGCCTGCGATCCCAGGCTCGGAGGCCGGAAACGTCGCTACGGAGCCGCACGGCAGCCCGCGTCGCGGCCCTTCCTTGCCGTCAGCCGAGGCCGCGCCGCCAGCGCAGACATGGCCAAGTGGGGCCAGGGGGACCCGCGCTGGATCGTGGAAGAGCGGGAGGACGGGACCAACGTGAACAACTGGCACGGGTGCGGCCGGGCGGGGGCCGGGGCTTTCGGGCCCCCTCCCTCCCGAGCGTTGGGCGGAACGGTGGGGCCCCTCTGCGAGCAGCCGGCTCCCCGTGCGCTGCGGGGTGCGGTGGCCCGGCCTCTCCGGCGCTCCCTCTGTGGGGCGGGGCCTGCACAGGTGCAGAGGATTCCCTCCTCCACCAGCGGCTCAAAGAGCGGCTGTGATTAGCCTCAGCGGAGTCTGGAGACCGGGGTGGGGGTGCGGGTGGGGGTGGGGGGCTTATCTGCTTTGGCTGTGGGACTTCAGTTTCCTCCTATTGAAAGTTGGTCTGGGCGCCATGAATGGTATCTGCCTGGCCTCTTCAACTTCGACAGTCTGTGACCTTAAGAGCTCCCCTCCCCCCCTTGATGTTTCTGGAAGTTAAAAGGAGCTAGTAGTGTGTGTGTGTCGGTCTGTATGTAGTGAATTTGGATCTCAACACGATGGGCCTCGGGTGAGCCCTGCCTTCCTTCTAGGAGTTTGAACCGTTGCACATCGTTTTTGTATGGCATGTGGAACGTGGGCGATTTCTGCCTCCCTCGCTCCCGCACAGTTTCAGGAAGTGATGCAGCATCACTGCGGGTACACTGTGGTGCCTCAAGGCCGTCAAGCCGAAGTTGGGGCGGGTCCGGGGCAGAGTAAAGCCGTCAGCCTGGGGGCGGCTTGTTGAGGGAGCCCTGGCCTCTCCTTTCCCCGGCATTGTCGCCGCGGACACATCAGGGGCTTCTCTCACCTCATTTCCACTCGCTAAAATGGGAACATTTATTTGGGAAGATTGCATGAGATAATATATGCACTTGATAATGTGTCTTGTTTTGATTAAAATTAAAACTTTTTGTACGGCCCAGGCTTTGCCCATCCATTTTCCAGTGGGTGGGATTGCTAGGCCCCCTTTCCCCCAGAATAAGCCAGTGTTTTTAAGACAAAACACTACATAGTGGATAATAATATCTTAAGGAACTGAGCAGGAATGTTAAAAGATATCTGGTAGAAATCTGGTTGAACTTTGAGGGTGGCAGGGCTCTTAGGGCTGCCTGAGAGGCAGTGGGCTGATCTGGGCTGGTCCGGGCATTACCCCCACGCCCCAGACTGGCATGCGGCTACCAGCTGGGGCCTCCACTCACGGCTCTGCCCTTCTGGTCCCTGGCAGGACAGAGCGGGATGCCACCCGCTGGTCCAAGGGGAAGCTCCGTGACCTCCTGGTGGGCATCGTCGTGGAGAACGAGGCTGGCCGCGTTGAGATCAGTGAGCTGAAGCAGGTGGAAGGTGAGGCTTCTTGCAGCAGCCACAAAGGAAAGCTGATTTTCTTCTATGAGTGGAACATCAGGCTGAGCTGGAAAGGTAACGGGGCGCTCAGGGCACAGCTAGGAGCTGGAGGCAGCCTTGGGGCAGAGTCAGCTGGTGTAGTATTCATTCCTTCAGTAGATATTTTTAGAGCTCCTGATGGGGCCTAGCACTCACTAGCCCCTGGATTTGGTGTGTGTAGTTCCAGACATCCTTCTGTCATGTAGAGTGCCTTGTCTAGCAAGCCGGGGGGCTTCCCTTTCTCCCAGCACTCATTGCTTAGAGCCCTTCGATTTTAGCAGCACTCGTGTCTGCCAGGCACTTGTGAGCCCTAGAGTTTTCTGGAGCTGCCGGAGCACTCTTTCCCTAGACAGCTGCCTGCTGACTCTTCTGGGTCCTTTTGGTCTTTGTCCTGAGTGAAGCCACCCGTCTCTATCCTCTAAAAATTGCAGGTCCCTTCTTTGAAATCTCTCTTCCTGCTTTATTTTCCCCCAAAGCACTGATATTTGGTTATCTTTATATGGTTACTTAAATATATTACTATTCTGGTTCCCTTCCCAATCAGGGCAGGGATGATTTTTTTTTTTTTTTAAATATCAGCTTTATTGAGATCTAATTCACATACCATACAGCTCACCCGTTTGAAGTATACAGGTCAGTGGTTTTCAGTGCGCTCACAGAGTTGTGCAGCTCCCACTACAGTCCATTTCAGAACATTTTCACCACTCACAAAACCCTGTCCCCAGTAGCAGTCACTCCACAGTCTTTGGCAACCACTAATCTGTTTTCTGTTTCTGTGGATGCATTTGCCTATTTCCTATCATCTATCTCTATAGATGGATTTGCCTATTCTGGGCGTTTCATATAAATGGAATCATAGAGTATGTGGTCTTTTGTGACTGGCTCCTTTTTTAAAAATTTTAATTCCAGTCTAGTTAACGTAAGTGTTAAATTAGTTTCAGGTGTACAATACCGTGATTCAACAATTCCATACGTCACCCGGTGCTCATCATGATAAGAGTACTCTTTAATCCCCTTCACCTGTTTCATCCATCCCTCCCACCCACCTCCCTTATGGTAACCATTAGTTCTCTGGAGTTAAAAGAATTTTTTTTTTTTTTAAGATTTTATTTATGTATTTTACAGAGAGAGAGAGACAGTGAGAGACAGTGAGAGCGGGAACACAGCAGGGGGAGTGGGAGAGGGAGAAGCAGGCTTCCCGCGGAGCAGGAAGGGCCCTGGGATCATGACCTGAGCTGAAGGCAGACGCTTAACGACTGAGCCACCCAGGTGCCCCAAGAGCCGCCTTTTTTTTTTTGGCTTGTCTCCTTTTTTCCCCTTTGTTCATTTGTTTTGTTTCTTAAATTCCACATATAAGTGAGATCATATGGTAGTTGTCTTTCTCTGATTCATTTAGCTTAGCATTATATTCTCTAGCTTTGTCCGTGTCAGTGAAAATGGCAAAATTTCATTCTTTTTTTATGGCTGAGTAATACTCCATTCTATATGTGCAACATCTTTTTTATCCATTCATCTGTCAGTGGGCACTTGGGCTGCTTCCGTAGTTTGGCTATTGTAAATAATGTTGCAATAACCATAGGGGTGCATATATCCTTCTGAGTTAGCGTTTTCTTTTTGGGGGGGGTAAATAGCCAGTAGTGTGATTACTGGATCCTAAGGTGGTTCTATTTTTAATTTGTTGAGGAACCTCCGTACTGTCTTCCACAGTAGCTGCACCAGCTTGCATTCCCACCAACAGTGCAAGAGGGTTCCCATTTCTCCACATCCTCACCAACAGCTGTTGTTTCTTGTGTTTTTTATTTTAGCCATTTTGATAGGTGTGAGGTGATATCTCATTGTAGTTTTGATTTGTTTCCCTGATGGTAAGTGATGTTGAGCATCTTTTCATTTGTGTTGGCCATCTCTGTGTCGTCTTTGGAGAAATGTCTGTCCATGTCTTCTGCCCATTTTTTAAAATAATTAAATTTTTAAAAAGATTTTATTTATTTATTAGAGAGCACGCACAAGCAGGGGGAGGGGCCGAGGGAGAGGGACAAGCAGACTCCCCACTGAGCAGAGCCCGACATGGGGTTCAATCCCAGGACCCTGAGATCAGGACCTGAGCTGAAGTCAGATGCTTAACCAATTGAGCCACCCAGGCACCCCTGTCTTCTACCCTTTTTTTTTTTTTTAAAGATTTTATTATTTATTTATTTATTTGAGACAGAATGAGAGACAGAGAGCATGAGAGGGAGGAGGGTCAGAGGGAGAAGCAGACTCCCTGCTGAGCAGGGAGCCCGATGCGGGACTCGATCCCGGGACTCCAGGATCATGACCTGAGCCGAAGGCAGTCGCTTAACCAACTGAGCCACCCAGGCGCCCTCTTTATATATTTTGTATACTAACCCTTTATCAGAGATGGCATTTGCAAATATCTTCTCCCAGTTAGTAGGTTGCCTTTTAGTTTTGTTGATTATTTCCTTTTCTGTGCAGAAGCTTTTTTTTTTTTAAGATTTTATTTATTTATTTGATAGAGCATAAGCAGGGGGAGTGGCAGGCAGAGGGAGAAGCAGGCTTCCCACAGAGCAGGAGGAGCCCGATGTGGACTTGATTCCAGGACCCCGGGATCATGACCTGAGCCGAAGGCAGTCGCTTAACCAACTGAGCCACCCAGGCGCCCTGGAGGCTTTTTATTTTGATGTAGTCCTTTTTTTTTTTTGAGCACATGGAGTTGGGGAGGGGCAGAAGGAATCCAAGAGAGACATTCCTGAGTGGGCTCCACACCCAGCGCAGAGCCCGAGGCCGGGCTGGATCCCGTGACCTGAGATCATGACCTGAGCCGAAATCAAGAGTCAGACCCTTAACTGACTGAGCCACCCAGTTACCCCTATTTTGATGTAGTTCTAATAGTTTATTTTTGCTTTTATTTCCCTTGCCTCAAGAGACAGATCTAGAAAAATGTTACTACGATGTGTGGCTGATGTCAGAAATTACTGCCTATGCTTTTCTAGGATTTTTATGTTTGAGGTCGCACATTTAGAGGACTGGCTCCTCTCACTTAGCGTAATGTTTTCAAGGTTCATCCATGTGGTAGCATATTCCTATCCTTTTATGGTTGAATGATATTCTGTTGTACAGATAGAGCACGTTTTGTTTATCTGTTCATCAGTTGATGGACATTTGTGTTGTTTTCATTCTGTAGGTCATTTGGTCAGGTCCAGATTAGTGTCTGGAATGTTGTGTGCTTGTTGAAAGAGTAAGTTTCTCCTGTGATGCCTAGTTACCGGGTGGTCAACATTCTGTGCTCAGTGAATACTTGTTGAAATAATCATGGATGTGAAGAGGTGAAAAGGAAGAAGAGGAGAGAGGGAGAGAGCTAATTCTAGAAGATTGTACTGAGTTAAAGTTTGGGCCTCTGCTCAGGAGTCTACTCCTTTCTTAAGAGTTGGGTCAGAGAGTCCCACAGTAAGCTGGCTGTGGGCCTCCACCCTGTTGGCCGCTTTGCTCGAGCCAGGCTTGGGCTCAGGGAGGTGCTCAGGAAGCATCAAAAAAGTCCACTTCTGCCTTGGAAACTTCTGGCTAGGGGTTTGCTCTCATTTGCTCCCTCATTGTCTGCAGCTGGCTGGATCATAGCAGGGTCTGGAACCTTCTACCCCACGCCACCCCCAGGACTGGGCTCTGAGGGTCCCAGGGAAGTTCATGGTCTCCCTCACCTCAAAGCAGCTGCAACCTCCTTTGGAAGGTAAGACCGAGCTATCCAAGACAGCAGCTAGAGGGCAGGCTGAATGGGGCCTGCCCTGACCACTTGGGCTTTCTCCTCTGGCAGTGAGTCCCAGAAGAGGCAAGTGGGCCCTCTGGAGAAGAGTCAACATTCTGGTTTTGTTTTTTTCCTTCTTTTTTTAATTAAATTTTATTTTAATTTTCCCCCACCTTTATTGAGACACAATTGACTTAGAACATTGTATAAGGTTAAGGATGATTTTATATATATATGTATATATATAAAATGGAAATGATTACCACAGTAAGGTTATTTAACACATCCCTCACTTCATATAGTACAGTTTTCTGTGTATGTGGAGAACTTTTCAGATTTACTTTCTTAGCAACTTTCAAATATACAGGACAGTGTTGTTAACTGTAGTCATCAGGCCGTACATGACATCCTCCGAACTTACTCTTGTAACTGGAAGTTTGTACCTTTGTGTCCTCTGACCACCTTCCACATCACTGGCTCCCTGCAACCACCAATCTGCTCTCTGTCTCTAGGAGTTTGGTTTTTCTAGATTCCACATACAAATGAGATCATATAATTTTTGGCTTTGTCTGACTTATTTCACTTAGCATAATGCCCTCAAGGTCCATCCATCTTGTCCCAAATGGTGGGATTTCCTTCTTTTGTATGGCCGAATACTATACTTGTGTGTGTGTGTGTGTGTGTGTGTGTATCTACTACATTGTTTATCCGTCAGTGGACACGTAGGTTGTTTCCATGTCTTGACAACTGTAAACAATGCTGCAGTGAACATGAGGGTGCAGATGTCTCTTTGAGATGGTGATTTTATTAACTTTGGATAAATACCCAGAAGTGGGATTGCTGAATCATATGGTAGTTTTTCTTTTAATTTTTGAGGAACTCCACAAAGTTTTCCACAGTGGCCGCACCGGTTCGCATTCCTGCCAAACAGTGCATGAGGGTTCCCTGTTCTCCACATCCTCGCCAACACCTGTTGTCTCTTTTTGATCTAGCCATTCCAGCAGGTGTGGGGTGATACGTCACTGTGACTTTGATTTCCCTGACACTTAGTGATGTTGAGCATCTTTTCATGTACCTGTCATCCATCTGAATATCTCCTTTGCATCAATGTCTATTTAGGTCCTTTGCCCATTTTTAATGGGATTATTTGGGGTTTTTTTGCTGTCAAGTTTTATGAGTTCCTTATATATTTTGGATATTAACTTCTTAGCAGATAAGGTTTGCAAATATTTTCTCCCATTCTGTAGGTCGCCCTTTCCTTTTGTTGAGTGATTGTTTTGCCTGCAGGAGCTTTTTAGTTTGATGTTTTGCTCTTGTTGCTTGTGCTTTTGGTGTCCCATCCAAAAATTATTGCCAAGACCAGTGTCAGGGAGCTTTTCTCCTCCTCCTAGTTTTATGGTTTCAGATCTTTAATCCACATTAAGTTAATTTTTATAAGTGATAGAAGATAGGGGTCCAGTTTCATTGTTTTGCACGTGAATATTAAGTTTTCCCAGTACCATTTAATGAAGAGACTACCTTTTACCCACTGAGTATTTTTGCCTCCCTTGTCAAATATTAGTTGATCATATATGTGTGGGTTTATTTCTGGGCTCTTGATTCCATTCCATTGGTCTCTGTGTCTGTTTTTATGTCCATACCATACTGTTTTGATCACTGTAACTTTGTAGTAAAGTTTGAGATCAGGAATTGTGATGCCTCCAGCTTTGTTGTTCTTTCTCGGGATTGCTTTGGCTGTTGGGGGTGTTTTGTGGTTTCATGCAAATTTTAGATTGTTCTGTTTCTGTGAAAAATTCTATTGGCATTTTGAGAAGGACTGTATTGAATCTATAGATGCTAACTTTGGGCTTAGTTTTTTTTTTTTCTAACTCTTTGAGACATAAAGTTAGGTTCTTTATTTGAAATCCTTTTTTTTTTCCTCGATGTATGTGCTCATTACTACAAACTTCCTGCTTAGAACTGCTTTTGCTGCATCCTGTAGGTTTTGGTGTATTGTGTTTCTATTTTCATTTGTCTCAAGGTATTTTTAAAATTCCCCTTTTGATTTCTCTGAGCTATTTGTTGTTCAGGAATATTTGTTTATTTCCATGTATTTGTGAGTTTTCCAGCTTTCCTCCTGTTACTGATTTCCAGTTTCATACCATTATGATTTGAAAAGATATTATAATTTCTGTATTTTTGAATTTGTTGAGACATGTTTTGTGTCCTAACATGATTTATCTTAGAAGATATTCCATGGATCCTTGAGAAGAATGTGTATTCTGTTGCTGTTTAATGGACTATTTTATATATGCCTGTGAAGTCCATTTGCTCTATAATGTTTAAATCTGCTCTTCCTTACTGATTTTTTTGTCTGGATAATCCATTGTTGATCGGGGGTATTAGAGTTCCCAACTATTGTATTGCTGCTTATTTCTCCTTTTTGTTCTGTTAGTATTTCCTTTACATATTTAGGTGCTTCAATGTTGGGTACATAAATATTTACAATTGCTATATCTTCCTGATGAGTCAGTCCCTTCAGCATTATATAATAACCTTTTTTTTTTTTTTTTAAAGATTTTATTTATTTGAGAGAGAGAATGAGATAGAGCATGAGAGGGGGGAGGGTCAGAGGGAGAAGCAGACTCCCTGCTGAGCAGGGAGCCCGATGCGGGACTCGATCCCGGGACTCCAGGATCATGACCTGAGCCGAAGGCAGTCGCTTAACCAACTGAGCCACCCAGGCGCCCATAATAACCTTCTTTAGTTTTTTTTTTTTTTTGACCATTTTTTCTTAGTATTTTGTCTAATACAAGTGTAGCTACTCCTGCTTTTTTTTTTTGGTTACCATTTGCTTGAAATATCTTTTTCATCCCTTCACTCTCAGTTTATGTGTATCCTTTAAAGCTAAAGTGAGTCTCTGTATTATAGGCAGCATATTGTTGGATCTTGTTTTTTGTTTTTTTCCTGTTTTAATCCATTCAGCCATTCTGTGTCTTTTGGAGAATGTAATCCATTTATGTTTAAAGTAATTATTGATGGGTAAGAACTTACATTTGCCATTTTGTTAATTGTTTTCTCACTGTTTTGTAGATCCTGCGTTCCTTGCTTCCTCTCTTATCTTCCTTGATGGTCTGATGCCTTTTCGTGGTGGTATGCTTTGACTCCTTTATCATAATCTTTTGCGTACCTACTACAGTTTTCCTCAGGTGGTTACCCTGAGACTTACATGGAATATATTTATAACATGCTATTTAAACTATTAACAACTTTGGTAGCATACAGAAATTTATACTTCTTCCCTCCTCAGATTTTAGGTTATTGATATTACAATTTGCATATTTTCATATTGTGTATCTAGTAACAAATTATTGTATTTATGGTTATTTTTAGTATGTTTTAATTTTTAAATAGAGTTGTAAGTGAATTATGCAACACCATTGCAATATTAGATGATCTGACTTTGTGTATTTACCATTACCAGTGGGTTTTACACATTCATATATTTTTATGATGCTAACTTCAAATAACATCTAGTTCAGTAATTCTTTCTTCTGCTTGGTCAGTTTAGCTGTTGAAGCTTTCTGTGTAATTCTTCAGTTCAGTCATTGTATTCAGCTCCAGGTTTTCTGTTGTGTTTCTTTGTGGTTTCTGTTTCTTTGTTGAATTTCTCATTTTGTTCGTGCAGTTTCTCCTAATTTTGTTTGTCTATGTGTTCTTATAATTCACTAAACTTCTTTAAGAGATTTATTCTTAATTACTGGTCACATAGTTCGTGGATCTCTATTTCTTTAGGATCTGTTATTGGAGTTTTATTAGTTTCCTTTGGTGGTGTCATGTTTACCTGATTCTTCATGAGCCTTAATTCCTTGTTTTGGTATCTGCATATGTAAGTGATTTCCTTTTCCAGAATTTATAGGTTTGCTTCAGTAGGAAAAGACCTTCACCATTCAGCTTAATTTGGGTCACTTGGTGGGTCATCTAGTAGCATTTGTGGTGGGCAGGGCATGCTGTTGGGATCTCTAGTTGAGTGGGGCCACTGCTCATACTGTGATCAGGGTTGGAGGTCGGGGCTCTCCTGGCTGGGCTCCTATGTTCAAGCGGAGTCTGCTCCTTGGGCTCTGTGTTCAAGCAGGGTTGCTGGGCATACTCCCTGATGGGGTGTAGCTGCTCGCTGTGCTCCATGGTCACATGGGTCCTCTATATGGGCCTTGCAGTTACCTCTGGTCAGGGGGCGGTCCCTGGATGTGTTCCCTGGAAGGGCAGTGCTACTGTTTGGACTCTATGATTGGGCAAGGCAATGGGTGGGTCTCCACCATTGCTCCTGGTTGGATGCGGTCTCAGGCTGTGCTCCCGGACCAGATGGTTCTGCTGGCCAGACTCTGTTCGGGTGGGGCCACAGGCAGGGCTTCATGATTGGACCTGGCCTCAGGCTGTGCTCTGTGATCAGACTGTGCCTTGAAGTTGGATAGGTCTGCAGGCTTCACTTCGAGATCAAGGAGCCACTGGCTATGCTCTGCTGTTGAGCAACATTGCTGGCCAGGCTCTCTGGTGGGATGGGCCTCCAGCTGTATCCCACAGTTTGTTGGGGCTAGGGACTACGCTCTGTGTTTGGGTGGGGTCACTGTCTGGACAAAGCCAGAAGCTGTGTCTAGCATTTGGGCAGGTCTGTAGGCTGGGCTTCAAGGCTGCTTAGGGTTACTGTTTGGGCTCCCTCGTTCTGTGGGACCAGAGACTGTGCTCAACAATTGGGCAGGGCTGTTTGGCTTCCTGCCCAAGTAGGGCTGGAGGATGGGCTCAGTGGCTGCCCAGATTCTCTGGTCAGGCTTCCTGTATGGTCCGGATGATGGGAGGCTCCACCAGCAGTTGAGTGGGGCTGCAGATTTGCTTCCTTGCCTGGGTGGGGGCGGTAGAATGGGCTCCACAGCTGGTTTCAGTCCATTGACCAGGGACCCTAATCAGGCATAATCACCAGCTGAGCTCCCTAGCCACATAGGGCTGCCAGCTCAGCTCTGCAGAAGGGCGGAGTCACTGGCCAGGATCTTTGCTCATGCTCTGCTGTAGTAGGAACACGTTTCAACAAGATTTGAGTGTTGGTTATTTCAAGTCCTGCCCTGCTTCTGTCTGATTCCCAGTGGTTCCTGGGAGCTGAGACCCAGATGGGCCTTCTAGGAAGCATCCCCCAATGCTAGGGGACCTGGATGTTTTTCCACCTGAAGAAACCACAGCTCTGTGCTGGCAAGAGGGAGGGGTGATTTGGTCAGTTTTATCACTTCTCCTACGCTTCTCATTTGGCCCTTTGTCTCTGGTCCATAAGGGTGCACTCTGGTATTTTCACAGTGGTGTCTCCTCTATGGATACCTGCTAGTTGGTCTTGTGAGGGAACCTGAAGTCAGGAATAACCTATGTTGCCATCTTGATGTCCCTGAAATCAGCACTTTGGTATTGAAAGAAATCCAGCTACGTGGAGTCCATGCACAACTTCCCCAAGCCATCACCTGTCTCCCCTCATGCTTTCCTTGATTAGACCTCACTGCCCCTTTCTGGCCTCCATCCTTTATGTGACTCCTCGTCAAGACGGCCCTTTATCCTGATTTGACCTGGTAAAGAATATTGGGGGAGGAAAACAAAAGCATTGGTTAAAGGCCCACTTCCTCCGACCTCATCCTTCCACCCGGCCCCTAGTTTTGTGTGCACTCTCATTGGCCAGGTTTTACCTCCACCTTTATTCGCTTACCTCTGTTGGGGGCTAGGAGAACTACCTGTGTGGTGGCAAAGCCTTGAACCTGCCTTGTCATCCTCTGTGGTGGCACCCTGTGAGGGGGGTGGGCAGTTTTGCATAAACCAGTTGTTACTTTGTGATTGAAGAACGTATTTTGTTCATTTTAGTTGTAATTAAAGAATCTGGCGAAAAGCACAAGGGATTGATTGAAATACTCAACCTTTCTGAAGAAAATGAAGTAGATGACACTGAGGTGAGGTATCTGCTAGTTTCTTTTGTATCCTCCCAAGCTTATGCTGTATAATATTGGGCATTTGAAAAACCGTTAATAGACTCTATGATTCCTTTGTGGTGGTTTTGGTGAATTGTGTAGGGTTTGTTTGCCAAGAAGGTGTGCTGTACTGTGGGAGGCAGTGTGGGGTGTGGAACGGAGCGGTGGAGGAAGAAGAGCAAGGCCCAGGAGCCCTAGACTGCCCCTCATCCCAGGTGTGGCGCCTGCGCAGGTTCATCTATGACTCTGGGCTGGTAGCAGGTAGATGTGACCGTGTACAGACTGGAGCGTGCTCAGGCAGATGCCCAGGTGGGTGAATGGGGTTTTGTTTCTGCCTTTTTTTTTTTTTTTAAAGATTTTATTTATTTGACAGAGACCGTGAGAGAGGGAACACAAGCAGGGGGAGTGGGAGACGGAGAAGCAGGCTTCCCGCTGAGCAGGACCCTGAGATCATGACCTGAGCTGAAGGCAGACACTTAACCACTGAGCCACCCAGGCGTCCTGTTGCTGCATCTTTGCTGTTTCCCTTTAGTGGTGAAAATTCTCCGCTTTTAGCTGTCCTCTCTTTCAGTTATATTGCATGGTTTTTGGTAAACTAGTTAGTTGCCCCTTGCTTTTGACTGGCTCTCCTAGCTCTCCTGAGAGGTGGAGCTTTGTGGAGCTCCCAGACTTTGTTTTCAGGGATTGCCCTCTTGAAGCTGAAAAACTTGGTTGGGGGTAGGGGGTGGGGGTGGGGGCCATTTGTACCATTTGTCGATTTTCCAAACTAAGATAGTATGATAGAGGGTCTTTTTGATTTGTGAACCTACTTAAATGTGAATTCTTAACAAAGAGAGAAAAACTAAACCATACTGAGCTACTTGCCTATGACTGGCCTTTAGTAAAGGTTACCAAATGCCATAAAAGTGGGGCTGTGTCAGACCCATCTTTAGACGTGTGGTTGCCGTTATTTAAGGGCTGTGATTTCACTTCACTATATTCAGATCCAGCTGAAAAGTTTTTCATCAGCATATTAAACTGGCCTTTTAGATTCAACCCTTGGTGGCATTACAGGACATACTGGGACCCATGACCTGGGACCAGGCCCAGCTCAAGTGAATCATAGGAACACTAAATATTTCAAACCAACACCTCTTTTCATTCTGAGACTACCACAGACACATTCTCAAGAGCCAGAGCGGCATTCGGATGCTTCCCTCTTCCTGTCTGCCCCCTTCTCCCCACTCTCTTCTTGTCCCTTTCCCCCCTCCCTCTTTCTTTCTTCCTTTCCCAATTTTCCTCCGCATCAACAAAGTGTAGCCCAAGGCCACGTTATTATGGAACTTGATTTTCCTAATTACACTGGCTTTGGGGTTCTAGACCAGCGCTGTTCAATAGAAATACAATACAAGCCACATATGGAATTTAAATTTTTCTAGTAGCCGTATTAAAAAAGTTAAAGAAACAGGTGAAATTAATTTTAATACTTTTATTTAACCAAATATATAAAAATACCATTTTAACATGTAATTAGTATCAAAATTAGAGATTATTTTACATTCTCTTTTTGTATTAATTCTTCAGAGTCTGTTGTGTATTATTTTACACTTCTAGCACATCTCAGATCAGACCAGCCACATTTCAAGTGCTCAGTAGCCAAATGTGGCTAGTGGCTACCGTACTGGACAGCGCATTTCTAGACCCTGATAAAAGCCATGGGGTGACTATATCATCAATATAATACATACACATATACACATAACATTTTATAGGCAAATTAAGGGGTTCACATTTCTAAGAAGTCCACTCCAGATTTGGCCACCAACCCAGTCAATGGACCTTTGATTAAAAAACCCTTACAGCTTCTCAAAGTCTGTGAAGAAACCTGGTGCATCTCTCTTATATCCACTTCTTCCCCCTCCCCCAGCATCATAGCGCTTCTCCTAGCCATTTGTTCTGATGTTGTGAGAGTACATCAAATCAGATTTTCTTAGGGTTTGTATTTTCCTGATTTGTAGGTGAATGTGAGTAAAAAGGTGTGGATATACTGAAGGATCTTACGAAAACTGCAGGCACTGCCAAGGTCAGGGAGGCCCTTGGAGATTACCTGAAGGCACTTAAGACGGGTAAAGAAGGCAACCCTTGTGAACCAGAGGGTCCCTTTTCTATTTACGCAAGTTATGCTCTGTACTATGGTCTGGATTCCCAGGTTAGGGTGATGTCTGTTAAGGCTTCAGAAACAGCTTTTTATGCTGCAGGATAAATTGTAATCTGAAGGTTGAGAGCTAGTCATGAGTAAGACCACAATTAGTGACTATTGGTATCGTACACATCGCAAACTATTTTGCCTATGGAATTACTAAGAGTTTTCTGGAACGATAATTTATTCAGTTGTTTGTGTAATTTACTTGTTCAAGGTTTATCTTCGCTCCTCGGTGTAAGCTCTAAGGGGGCATGGAAGGTGTGTGTCTTGTTCACTGCTGTAGCTCCAGCTTCTGGCACAATGCCTGGCACATAGTAGGTGCTTATGAATAAATCTTTGTTGAATGAATGAATGAAGGAATGAAAGATATTGCAGATAGAGTTGAGATTTACCTAGATCGTATCTACCCTGCGTAGAAGTGAGGTTATTGTCTTCTTCCCTAAATTAGTCACCTGCCAAGCAAAATGACCAGTGGGGCCTGAATGTCTGCACCTCATCCTTGGACTCTGTTACTGGAGTATCTAGGTGTTACAGGCTTGAATACTGGAAGGCCAAGCTTTGTGAGGTGGTGGTGAAGCAATTAAGTGTCTGGATTTGACAGGTGAAGGTCATAAAGCTAGTAGTTTTATAAAATTGAGCTTTTTGGAAAACAATTTGAAAATACCACTCTTTTATCAAGAACTAAATAAAAGTGAAGCATTTGAAAAAAGAAAAGGCATTTGTTGCTATAGAACTCATGTTCATGAATTAATTTTGTATGTAAAAACATGCTATGGCCTTGAAATTCTCAATGATAAAGGAATTCTTTATAAATATCCATTCTCTTATTTTCTTATAAGCTGTTTGGATTTTCTGCCTTACTGGTGGTGCTCAAAGAATTTTTTTTTTTAAATCACTTCCTGTATGTTTCTTTTTAGAATTTACAGTGGGAATGATTTTACCAACAAAAGCCATGGCAACCCAGGAACCGACAGTTGAAAGGAAACTGAGTGAGAACACCTTGCAGGTTGTCCTCTGGGGCCAGTATGTAGGGAGGGAAAAGGAAGTGCTTAATGAGGATGCTTCAAAGCCCTAGTGAGGCCAGCCGGTTCATCCATCTTTGCATCCCTTGCCATTTTGAGGGGAAATGATGAAATAAGACTTCTATCCTTGATGGAAGGGAATATATAAACAGGGCTTCTTGTGGGATAAATATTGAATTTAGTTCAAGACCATGTTCCAAAGGCGGGTTCTTTGGTAGGAAACAGATTATAAAACCAGGCAACTTTGAGGTTCACCTACAACAATGGAAAAACCTCTCCAGACTTTCAGATTGGGTGGTTTTAGGTCCCATCCTTGGCATCTGGTGTTGGGGAATTGACACCCTTTGGCCTTAAGTGCTATTGTCCTTCATCTTTATGCGCTCTGGGCCATTATGTACACGTCCAAGGAGGATTTGGGGCGTTAAGCGATGACCTGGGAGTGGAACAAAGTCGAAGAGCTCATAGGAACAATGAGCTCTGTTTCACAGTAACCAGGGTTGGTGGTGTTAAAATAAAAGGCTTTTCATGCTATTTCCATGTGTCTGGAAAAGGGTAGTGTGAAATTTGGGGACATTTTGGTATTTTATTAAGAGGGGAAGACTGAATTTTAAAATCTAAGTAGCTTGATCCCTGGCTTGCTAGTTAGCCTTTGGAACCTCTTCTCTTCTTGAGATCCAGGCTGCATCTCCAATGGGGTTGTGGGTAAGGATCCCCACCATGGCACTGCACATGACGGAACTCTTCGACGCCACTACAGAGCAACTGTACAGCATCTTCACTGTGAAAGATGTAAGTAACTTCCCAAGCTAGGATCTTCAGTGCTGACACTGGGAGACAATGTGCCACTAAGAACGGAAGCTGGTTTTTCATTTCCCATATGGCCATGTTCTTACAACTGAAGCGATCTAGAATGGTGGTGATAGAAATCTTTAGGATAACTTCTAAAAAATTCAAGGGGGTAGAAGATGGGCAGTTTGGGGAAACAGATCCACGTTTAGGAGATACATTACTGAGTTTTCTCCCTCTGAGGGAGAGGGAGAGAAAGCTCTACGTAAAAGCTACAGATTCAGAATTAGGAAAGGGGAAAAAAAAACCCAACTACCTTAATTGTTAATACTTTGCATTTAGGTTAAAAAGGTGATAGGGCACACTGGACTAACATGTCTGCTCTGTGTTTTGCTTGGTTAGTTGGTGCAAAAATTTTCTAAATCTCCTGCTGTATTAGAAGCTGAAAAGGGAGGGAAATTCCTAATGTTTGATGGGAACATCACCAGTGAATATACAGAATTGGTAAGTGATCTTTAGGGTTAAAAAGTAAGCTGGGACTGACTCTTCTGTTAATACTGCTTTTTTTTTTTTTTAATTTTAGTAATTTCTACAGCCAGCATAGGGCTTGAACTCATGACCTCAAGATCAGGAGTCGCATGCTCTTCCCACTGAGCCAGCCAGGCGCCCCAGTATTGCTTTTTAAAATCCATGCTTTTTAAAAAAAATTTGCTTTGGTTTTTTATCTGGGCTCACAGAAACTGGAGAACATTATAAAGTTGATTTTGAGAACATTATTAAGTATACTTGGTTGTAGAACAAATAAATGTTACACATACTAAGTAATGATAAAGATGATAAAGATGATAAAGATGAAGACTGAGTTTGCACAGTAATTGTGCTAATGCTTATGGTTTTAGAAGAAGGAAGTAGAATTCTTAACTCCTGCTGTACAAGTTTCACATTTTGGCCACCTAAAGCATAAATCATTGCCTCAGCCCCGACATCAGTTCTGTAGGGGTTACCAATGTCACTGCACTTCTGTCCTCGAGGCTGGTGCTGTTAAGGACGTTTTGGCATGCAGGAACAGTGGATTTTCAGTGGCGCTGCTGTATGACCTTGAAGATGGGACTGTACCATTGTTCAGTACTTTTAGTGCTCAGGGATTTCCTGTATTGCTGGAAGTTGTAAAAGCTGTCTTAAGGGAATTTCCCCTTTGTTTTTAGTTGACAAAGAGATCATGAAATGGAGATATAGGAACTGGCCAGAAGGTATGTTACTAGTATTCTTTGTTATAAGAGTCTAGAAACACTCAGGCTTGCCCCCATGCTCCAGCCCCCGACACGCTGTAAAAAAAAAAAAAAAAAGTAGTACTGTATGGACAGTTTTCCTTTTTGTAATGCAGTAATAAGCTTCTTCTTTTCTTTCCAGAACACTATGCGACAGTTGCACTGAGTTTTGTGCCTACTCCAGGGCAAACTGAATTGCAGTTAGACTATACAGGAGTTCCTGTCTGTAAAGAAGAGAGCATGAAATTCTGTTGGCAGAAGCAGCATTTTGAAGAAATAAAAGGTTTACTATAGCTGACCCAACCCTAAATGGTTGAATTAGAAGATTTTTATGGGGTATTACTTTTTGTAAGCAGGAAGAGTGTCAAGTTTACCTCTTCCCCATTACTCCTTTTAAAAAAGAAAACACTCTTACTTTATACTGGGTGAAATCCATGAGCTTATACAGAATTCAGAGCACTGTTTGAATCTTTACTACTAGACTCTCATTGGGTTAAAAGTAGCAAGCAACCTGAAAAGTCAGTATTAACCTTACCTCCCATAGCTGCTCCTCTGGGAAGAGACTGAGCCTCGGAGGACAGATGGTTGCTGTTTCCCACTAACGCTTGTCCTAGCAAGCTACTTTAGCTGTATTTTTAGTTCAGGCAGACAAAAAAATAAATGGCACATTGATACTATTCCTTTATCTTACTTCAGGGTTTCTAAGGTCTGTAGCTCTTAGGTAGCAAAGCAGCAGCATGTCGCGTTCAGAAGCATGTTGATGTGAGGTGCGTTGGGCCACGTCACGCGGCTGCTCCCCGCAGCAGATGTGCTCTCCGGGCGGAGGCCTGAAAGGCTCTGGGGTAAGTGACTTTTCGGGCCGCCACTACCATGATGGAAGAGAATATAATGGAGAGGTGCTTCCCTCCCATTCACAGTTTTCTCATTACTTTCATCTGAGAAGACTAAAGCAATGTTAAATGTAAACAAATGAAAAGTCATCACAATCCGTTTAATTAAGTGCACAGAATAGCAATCAATCAGTCAGTCATGTCAATAAAAATAAAACAATTATTTTTACATCAAGTGTGCTTTATTTCCTCCACAGGTATTCTGTTAAATAAAGCACCATTTATATACTGCCAGGCCACAGCTAAAGAGGATTCTTTACAGAATCAAATTTCTTGTGGTTGTTCCGTATACAAGTAAACTTAATTTTGATAATAAGAACCACAGCGATCGGAGGCGATCTGCCTCTATTATAAGGTACAAAACTGGCACAGAGGACACCATATTATACACAGTAAAAATGCTGTAAGTTTAAATTACATTGTACAGGGCCAGGGAACCCTGTTCCTCCCAGACAGCCATATGAAATGAAAGCCACTACAGTGAACTCTTAATTAATTACATAAAACATATCCATTATCTGATTGCCCTTTAGAAAGTATACTGAAGATGCAAATTTTTTCATCTGGCGTTCTGCCTGACCAAGAATTAAGCCTATAAATCTATCTTGCCATTCAAGCAGAGAGCACTGGACAAAACTGAAGCACAAAAACAGAAATAAGCAAAACTTATACAAACAGCATTGGGGGGAGAGGGGACCTTAAAAGTAGACATGCTACATCTAATGTCAAGAAGCAGCTTGGTTTCCTTTGCCAGATATCCTTGTGACCACATGGATCGTAGATTCAATGGTCCTACACAGAGTATCTAAAATGTCGTGTTGCTGCATGTGACTAAAGAGTCCTCTGGAATGGCCACAACTGAGTGATAAAGCAGCCTCAGGGTCCTGGGAGGGCAAAGCTTGGCCATCACAGCTTCTCAAGTCAGCTAAGTCAGAGAGAACTGCAGAGATAGAAGTAGAAGGGAACTCGGATTCTTCCTCAGCTAGGTTAGAATCCTTGGAACAGTGGAGGTCCTTAAATTCTTTACAGTCTTCAAATCTACCATCACTGGCCTGTTCTTCTGCATGCTGTGACCTGATATTTGACATGTCTTCTGAAAACGAAGATGGAACTTCCATTCGATATTCTTTAACAGAACTATTTTCAGGGGAAGGAAGATCTTGTTCAGTTCCTGGATCAATGATTGAGGAGTCTCTTGTCTCATTGTCTGAAGTGCTAGTTGGGGTTAGGACCTCCCTGGTTTCTGTTTTCAAGTCGCTGATACAGCTGTCTACAGTGTGCTCCTCATCACTGCTAACACGCCTTCTTTTAACAGGAGTTGCCCCTTCATCATCTGTGAAAATGAACATCATTCTCTGAAAGGAGTCATTAAGATCACACTGGGGGTGTTTGCAGGAGATTTTCTTTTTAGCATTATATGTAGGAGACCCAACTGAACAGACAGCTATTGTAAAGTCAGTTATACCGAGTGTATTCTTCCCCTCTCCCACCCTAAAAGTAATTAATATTAGTCCAGAAAGCTAACCTTTAGTTTTTCTTTCTTTGGCTTCTTGCTCTTGGAGTGAGTTTCTCTGCTGCAGACAAGTCCTGCATTTGCTTAAAAGCTCTTGCAGAGTTGGAATTAGAGCTGGGTTTAATTGTTTGGGAGTGTGTACTGACAGGAGCAAAGCAAGTGCCCGCAGATCCTGTAAAACCCAGAGAGGAACATTTACAATTCTAAAGCTAACATTTTGACACAGTTGTTTACTTTCCCAGGAATCCATTCTGGTTTCTCTGGCATTTTTAGAGAATGCTAAAACTAGAGAGCCAGGATTAGGATATTACTCTATTATCATGCCACTAATTAGGTCAGACTGAAGACTCACATAGTTTTCTGAAAATGGAAGAGGCAAAAAAAGGGATTTAAAAAATAAGCCCTGAATTATCCATGAGAAATTAAGGCCTCAATCTAGATATCATAGTTCCTCAAATATGCCGATTTCTGGTGCAAGTCTCATAGTAAGGCCATTCTTGCTCAGCTCTGTAATCTATTCTGGCATCTAAGCAACACGTGGTTACTGGGGAAGCAGTAAAATGCTGCTGGACAGGTGCTAGCATTCCATTATTGTATGACCCAGCCATCATGGACATCTATTTAAGGCAACGGATTCCCTTGTTTTAACTGGCTTTATAATCAGTAGATCATTAATCTGATTGTTTCAGTTATTTATGAACCATAAGCTGTGATAGAAACATCACATGTTTTCAAAAAATGTAAACAAGTAGAGATAAAGGCAATGTCTCCCTCTCGGTGATCTTACTGCCCTTAGCATTTAGTGACATTTGCTCATGTCTTCCAAGGTAATACAAAAGTGTGTACTACATACTTCAAAGGCATAGAGAACACATATTTTTAAAGAATTTGGTTTTTCATCATATGTGATTTTCAGAGTTTGAGTAAGTTAAAGTTATGATAGTAAAAATCATACTAAAGCCAAATTTAGAGATGATTTAAGGAAAATACTGAAGTGTACAGGATTATTCTCTCCCACAGTTCTTATCCCGCTTATTTTTTAAAGATTTCGTTTGTAAACAATTCTACACCCAACATGGGGCTGAAACTCACAACCCCAAGATCAAGAGTCGCACTCTCCTCCGACTGAGCCAGCCAGCCACCCCAATTCTTACCCCATTTAAAGAAGCACTTGCTTTGGAAATTTCAACTCGGTTGGTGAAATCAGATTGCAGGTTCTGATACTGATTTATCAAGTTTGTAATTAGGGTGCTGATCAAATTGGCACAGTTTGCTTCAGAAAACACTTGACCTTGAACCTGAAAAAAAAAAAAAGATTAAAAAAAATCTCCAAAAGACCAACATAATGAAAACACAACCATTAACACATTGGAAGTAACACATTGAGTTTCCAAAGTAGGACATACCTTTAGAAGAAAATGTGTCATGAATGTGTACACAATGTTGTTGTTCAGAAAAGTTCTTTCATCCATTAGGATACATTTTATATATTCTGCAAAAACGGGATCTTCACACAAAAGCTTGATGCAATTTTTTGACATAGCAGACTACAGTGGGGGAGAAGAAGTACTGATGGTTGAGCACAGAAATAACTGAAGGCTTACACACTGCTTATGATGAACATCCAAAGTCATTTTAAGTCCTGTTAGAGAGCCACTTTTAACTCTGTCTACTGAACTTTCAGTTAAGTAACTGTCCTCCCAACAAACTAAATCTTCCGCACTTAGACTCTACAGGTGAGTGTAAGAGGAAGAGACTTGTAACAAGTCTGAAGGACAAAATGAAAAAAATAGGTTTCAAAAGAAATTCAACTTTATTATCTAGCATAAAGAGAAAGAACAAGGATTGGACAAATAAGACTAACAAATAGGATAAGAATGTTTTCAGGGGACCAAATTGATGGATAATAAGTAACCCAACTATATGTGGAGAAAAAGACAAATTTTAAGAAATTTATTCCCTAAAAGGAGTTAAAACCTTAAGCAATAGTAATTTGTTTGGTAAGTATCTCCCCCCCCATGAATATTGCAAAGATAAACAGCAAATTTAATTATCTCACAAAGATAATTAGTGGGTCCCCAATATATGGAAATTCCACTAAAATTTGGTTTTCCTGTTTTTCAATGGTCATGGCTCTTAAACACAAGTAGTATGTCTTTAAGTAAATATACTCTCTAGATTATATGTATTTTAATAATAGATCATTTATATGGAAGACAAAATGGACTATTTAAAAAAAATAGGACAAAGTTTAGATAATATATACAGGTTATATACTTAAATATTTTATTAGGGTAAGTACATTCACGTTCACCCAAGAAATCAGGGAGTCTAACAGGACCAGGGCCCAGCTCCTCAGACACTTGCTGTCAGGAAAACTGGGTCATTCTACCAGCTGAGTCTCTGCCTGCTGCCTGGGTTTCTTGATGGCTGCTTCTACCGAGCTGGCAGGGCTTTAGAAGGCTTACAAGAGTTTTGCGTTGTCTTGAAGGAAGTTTTTGGAGATGGTGAATTCTTTGGAAAATAAGCCAATAAAGGGAGTGGTAAAATGCTGCAGTAGCTAAAACAATAGGGAAGCAATAGACAGTGGCAGAGTAGAGAAACCAAGAAAACCCAACTACCCGAATCAAGAATGAAAGGAAGAGTAGCAGCGGCAGAGGGAAAAAGCAGAGATCTGCTCCAATTTGCTGAATCGACCACTCAGCTGAAAAATCAATCAGCAAGTCATTTTCTCAAAGCCACAATGTTCTAAAGCTCTGTGACTAACATAAACTAGTTCAAAGATTCCTACTATAGAAAACAAAATGACATTTCTTTAGGGGCCAGAGAGGACTCCATTTCTACACTTGAGAAGCTCACAGTTTGTGACCAGGAGACAGAGAAACAACTATCCTAGCACCACCACTTGACACACATCCCCGAAGAGAAGAAAGAGCATTACAGCCCAGGCAGGAGGCTATACCAGAGGCATGAAGTGTTTCAATGTTTTAGATAATATAATTTGGGTAAAGTTAAAGCCAAAGTAAAGTTAACAAACATCTCTGGGGATGAGCAGCTGCAACCAGGAGGAAACCAATAGTTTTTTTGGGGGGTCTAAAGAAAGTGGGGATCCTTTAGACCTGATCCAAGGAATGAGCCAAATCTTTGGACCAATCTAGTTTCTCCCCTATCTCTGTGCCGTTCTCCTCCCCCCCCCAAAAATTAAACAAGCATTATTGAGGTGCCCACTTTATTTTAAAGAATTGGCTCTTAGATACTTAAGGTAGGTAGGATATGGTGTTTCTTGTTCTCAATGAGACTGTTAGTAAGAACAAGTGCATCGGACTCTTGAAAACCTCTTCAAAGTAACAGGGAAGAGGTGAAGGACAGACTGCTGAAACTGTTTCTGCTAAAGCTCTGAGAAGGGTGGAGGGGAGCAAGACAGATGGGGCAGATGAGGGAGAGCAAGAAGTGGCATACGCCTTCTTCCCCTAAATACCTCCCTGTTTTGGTCTTTTAGCATAACTGTTTATATTGATCTATAAATTACAAATTCAATAGCTACTTTGAAACATCCTCTGTGATACAAATCTACTGAAGTTAAAAACCTCAAAGGGCAACTTGATGACCAATACTCAATAGCTATTACTTCCATTAAGCATATTTTTACCTACCAAGATTCTAAAACATCTCCAATTTCCAGCTTGTGTTCAACCCATTGTTCCTAAAATTACTGACCAAATGGTCAGATGAGATGAAAGACCAAATCATCTAAAACTCATTTTCTTTACCTGAGTCTGGCATAGCTCAGTCCAAAGTTTGGGGAACAGTGCAAGATGAAGTGGCAAACCTTCATAGGCAACTAGGACACCTAATATTTGAAAAGAAATCAGAATAGGTTATAATTATACTACTGAGGTATTCAACTCTGCAGGTACAATTCTAGGTATTTCTAGTCATAACTATGCATCTTTTCTACATGTTTTAGAAATATATAAAGGGGAAGAATTCATTCCAGTGCTTTAACCAGTGAAATAATTTAGAGTGCAGTATACTTTGAATTTATTCAGATTCCACACCTCATTCCCAGCAGGATCTGAGGTAACTTAAACCAATTCTGCTTTTTAAGTATTAGAACTTTATCTGGGACAATATAAGAAGGGTTATTGCAAG